AGTCCTGAGAGACCTTCTTACCCTAGACCTACCTATCCGGATAGACCAAGCTACCCCGATAGGACAAATATTCCGACATACTATCCCGAACGCCGACACTATAACGCGACCGAGGAGCATCCTCGCAGGAATCACAATCACTATCCTAGACCGACGGAAACAACGACTCAAGCTACCTACCGCCCTCGCTACCCACAAAACCGTCCCGAATACCCGACCTACCCGCGAGCAAACAGCCCTACCGACCCGCGCTACAAACCGCACTACCCCGTTAAGACTACGGCGAGGCCGCGCGCCACACCGCCCCGCGCCCCGCCGCACACCACGCCGCCACCCGACAAGCCGGATGCCTGCAACACCAACTTCGATGCGGTTGCACTCATACGCAATGAACTCTTCATATTTAAAAATAGAGTAAGTAGCTAACTAAAGCTAGCTGAATTGATTTAGATTTAAAAGAAATATTTTATAACATTGATATAATTTCATCACGACTTTAGGTTATGTAAATACCGATTAATTAATTACAGTATCACTGGAGGAGAGGAGCCGCGGGTCACTATCCGGACTATCCCATTGAGATTACAAGAATGTGGACTGAATTGCCGAGGAATTTAACACATGTGGATGCCGTCTACGAAAGACCTGATAGAAAAATCGCTATATTCGTAGGTATGTATATGCCAGCAGCTTTTTCTACATGCATTATTAAAAATAAATTTGAAGCTAAAACCAAATTCTTTAAGTATCTACGTTGGAATAAAAAAAAACTTATTTTGTTTTAAGGTAAAGAGCTGTATTTATTCGACTCTCAAAACTTAGTTCCGGGATATCCAAAACGTTTGAGAGACCTCGGCCTGCCGGAGAGCTTGGAAAAATTAGACGCGGCAATGGTGTGGGGACATAACGGCAAAACATACTTCTACAGCGGCTCCGTCTATTGGAAGTAAGTCATGTAATGGTGTAAATTTACCAGATAGTACCAACTGTGGTGTGCAAACAGTGTTAAGTTGATAGATTACTCTTGGTAAATTCTGAGTTGATGCACTCTCGAATCGCTGGCTCTCATACACTACCAAAAAATAATAAGATAATATCAATTGTGATTTTCAGGTTTGATGAAGATGTAGGCAGAGTGGAGTTGGATTATCCTCGTGATATGGCCATGTGGAAAGGCGTTGGATACAACATTGACAGCGTATTTCAATGGAAAGACGGTAAGAATTACGTTTTACATTTTTTACGGCACATTGTAAACTACACCGTAAACAGTATCTAAAAAAGTGTAATAAGTATGCGAATATCTGGAATGTCTGTACTGAAAGGAACTATTTTGTTGCAGGTAAAACATACTTCTTCAAAGGTAGAGGTTATTGGAAATTTAACGACCTACGTATGCGAGTCGAGCACGAGAGGCAATTGCCTTCGGCGGCATTTTGGATGGGCTGCCCCACAGAGCGGGCCGGCAGACGGGAGCCCTTCAGATCTCTACCTGCACCAGGATCCACGTTACGTTCGCCCAGCTCTGCTGCGATATCCACACATAACAAAACATTCTTAAATTGCGCTTTCATTGCAATAGCGACAATCATACGATATTTTTAATAATTACTAAGTATTAACATCTAATGACGGAATCTAAAGTGTGTAATAATGTTATTTATAAATATAAAATACATAAAATACTTCTACTATAAACAACTTCAAAAGTTCATAATATTAAAATAGTATTAATCTTGTAGTACATTATCTATTAATCTCGATTTCGTATTTTTATAATTATAACAGGGCTTATATAGGTATAATGGTATTAATTTTAATCAGTGTTTTTCAATGTGGACTAATAAATCATAGACAAAAATGTAGGCACAGAATAAGTACTGTCAATGTCACCTATAAAAACAAGTACATATCGAAGAATGTCTGAAGAACAAATTTAGATATAATTTTAAATGAAGCGCAAAAAGTATAAACCGGTGTAAGTATTAACTTATGTCCGCGTCCACGTAGTTATACATTAGGATAATTCTAGTTACGAGGCATAATTTTAAATGTTATTTGTACATTTTGATCTCAACATGATTGAGTGCTTGGTTTTTTATGATATGTAAGGTACATAACACCATTTGTTTAGCTTTTGTACAGTTTGTGTTGTATTAAAACTAATAATTATTCATTCTATGTAAATTAAGGTTATAAATTAATGAGTTAGGTAGTTCACTAGTTGGCGTTGAAGCTTGTGTTTTATTGTACTGAATAAAATAAGCATAATATACATTTTAAAACATTATACACATATTATTTTATGTAAGTACAATTATTAACACTAAGAGTGACTTTACTTCAGTTTATATTTAAAAGTAGTATTTGAAAAATCCAAAGTCGTAATGTTTTCTCTTTTTGGCCAAATCTATTCTCTGAATATAATAATCTAGGAATTTTATAATTTTACTTTCCAAATAATATAGCTCAGCTTTTAATGAGTCTCGTTTAGTTTTATTATCTCGAAATCTCTGTAAACAATCTACAAAACATCTAATCTCAATTTAATTGAAGAAATTAAAAAACTAAATGTTTTTCCTATTGTTAATTTGTTTCTTATTACAAAACGCCATCTAGTGGGAACACATGTCTTTAGTCTCCAAATATTTAGCCAAAAGTAGTTTGTACATTACATGGCTATATAAAAAAATTAATATTAGCCACAGATTTATCCACAAGTTTGCCTTAGTAGAAGTTAAAGGTTACCTTTAAACATTTCTTATGTATATTTAATAGAATTTAGACAATTAAATATAGTTCTATATCTCTTATGCTGGTTAAAAGAGGTACACATATTCTGTAATTTGTAAATTGTATTAGTCAGACATAGTTATCGTAAAAATGGTAATTTGTAATCATCAATTTTATAATAATAGCTTATAATTCAAAATATATGGCCTTAAGAGACTTGTAAAATAAATTTGACATATAGCGACTGTATGTGGTTTGCTTGTGTTGCCAATTAATGAATGAAAAATAACGGAAGCCCGTTGATAATGATAATGGTGCTTAATATAGTTAGCTCTTGTACAGAATAAATTCAACTTGGTATTTTTGTATCTTGCTGTTGTGTCCATTCTAATCATGAAAATTAATTAACAGCTCATTTTAAGCTCTTTCTTCCATATTATCCATTAGCTATATTCTACTTCGCTAATTGTATATGTTAAGATTCTTGTGCAATCAGCAGAAATATAAATTACATTCATATTTACATAGATTATATCGACAAGTAAATTGATAAGTATAGTTGAATCTGTATAAGCAAGTCATTGTAAAGTCACAATCAACCACCACCATAAACGAGAAATTCGTGTTAGAAAGAAACCTCTGTAAACGAAAAAAATATCAGATCACCCTCGCTTATCCAGGTTTGGCTGTATATAAACATTATGTTATGTAAAATAACATGTGACTTGTACTTTAAGCATTTTTATACCTCTCAAGTCGCTCATTATTTTAGTATAGAATATAATAGGCGTTTTTACAATATCTTTTGGTCACAAATAATTTAATAATAACTGTGATATTTACTTTTATGAAAAAGGCCAGTTATTGGCATTAAAAATATATCAAAATTTTATCCTTGTCTAAAATAATGTACTCAGTAAAATAGTAAGCAGTTTGCAGTTTTTAAATCTTAGGTAAACATGTTTAACTACTATAAGCGTAAATAAAGAAATTTCTACAAGTTGTTGTCTTTTATTTACACATAAAAATCAATCTGATATGCTAAAACAGTAATATCTATCTTGAAAATTAAATATGAGAAATCTACACTAAGGACTTACCTATACCTATCACCCTGTCCAATTAAAAAATAATCCTTGTAATTAAACTATATATAAGACAAGGATCCGGCAAAGTATCCTTCCCTAAATTTTAGAAATAATCTCCGATAAATATGTACAATAATAGAGATAATAAAGCTAACTGTGTTAATAGATATTAGGAGACAAACATATTTCCATATGAGTTTGCACATGAATCATAAGCAGGACAAGTTTTCCAAGTTTTTCAGTCACTGAGAGGCTATGAATAATATGATTCACACTCTTAATAATTTTGTTTATTTTCTTTTGATATATATCTAGAACAACTAATAACTGACCCATCTGTCCTGTTCCAAGGTAGAACAAATACCAAATATTCTTACGTTATCAGAATTGTTTATAAGTCTTACAAAAGTCAGAGTTTAGAGTTTACTAAATTCACAAATTTATGTATAAATTATTTTCAAAGAATTTAAATGCGATTAGTACAGTCTCTATTAGACTATAGTAAGCACAAATAATATGAAACAAAATAAATATTAACTTCTAAAAAGGGAATTAAAAAAAGACAAATAATTTGCTTATTTTATTAATATACACAATTGCTTACCTACGCTCTAAAAATAAATAATTTCAACTGCCACCATTATTAAATCCTAACTTAGACCAGTCTTCTTTAGCCATTAGGTTATTCTCCATTCTGCACGCTAAATATTCTTTTGCTTCATCTCGGCATAAAGAATTGTTATTATTGTTATTAAATAAACATTTCATAAATCTCGTCATGCTTTTTTTACACACTCCATCATGATCTAAAGGAAAACTGCCTTTATCTGGTGGTGTTGGTATGAACGGTTTTTGACCAAATGTCATAGCATTAGACATTTTGTTTGTTAACTTTTATTCGACTTATCAATATATCTTTAGTGATCTCTTTATAGTGTAAACTTTCGTTTGGTTTAAATTATTTATTCACAACACTCTTTTTTTAATCAGCTGGTTTACTTGCAATCAATGATTGATCTGACATTTAATCTGATAACATCTGTCAATGTCAATTAGTGAAGCTCACTGGATACCATCGACAATTACTTCTTGAAAACAGACGGAAAAAGCAACAAGCGATCGTCAGTGTATGCTCTTTGATATCAATAACAAAATGTCAATATCCACGTGTGACACAATGTCAATTACAAAAAGTCAAAAAGCTCTCATAAGTTGATTTTTGTGTTTACTTACTTTGTGATTGCATTTTAAGCCAGATATAAAGTATAAGATACCAAGTGCATTGTGGAATAAACCCTAAAAATACGATAACAAAACCTGCATTTACTCTCCGAATACAATTACAAGTTTTTATTTAAAAAATAGTTAATTTATCAACATGTGGATGTTCCTATTTTCTTAAATATATTTTTTTATATATTTATGATGTCTCGGCTCATAGTCAAAAATTTGCCAAACAAAGTAAGATTGACTTACTATATAAATGCAGTTTTAAATCTAAAACATTTTAGCATTAATTACGTTTTAAAAATAAATTATTACTTATTAGGTTACAGTTGACAAACTTAAGGATATATTTTGTCAAAAAGGCGAAGTTACTGATGTCCAATTGAAATATACGAAAGATGGAAAGTTTAGAAATTTTGGCTTCATTGGATACAGGACAGAAGAGCAGGCTTCTGCTGCAAGGGAGTACTTTGATGGGACATGTGTCAATTCTATGAAAATAAATGTTGAATTCTGTGCAAATTTAGGAGATGAAAAGAAACCAAGGGCTTGGAGTAAATATGCCACTGATAGCTCAGCCTATCAAAAACTAAATAAAAATGAACAAGATACACCAAAGGAAAAGAAACAGAAACTGTCAAGTGCGGAAAGAAATAAAAACAAAATAAGGGAGCTTCTTAAAAAGGTTAGTTACTTAATTTATAAAATAAAAGTTAAATAATGCCTGCTTACACAAAATACATATCCCTATTTATAAACTATTTTTCTTTAGACTACTCGTCTGATAAGTTCAATTTGACTTGCAAAATTGTACTGTCAACAAATATTATTACACAATGCCACTATATTTTTACAAGTTTGGGGATGCATAACATTGCCCTGAATAAAAAAATCTATTGTTCACAGCATAAAGGTGATCCTTTATTTGATCAATTCATTGAAGCTCATGTTAATGAAAAAACATCATGGATTAAAGAAGTGCTAGAGGAAGTTAAGAAAAGTGACAATGAAGATAGTGGTAATGAAGCTTCACAAAATGAGGAAGAAAATATTGAAAGTAAAGAAGAAAATACTACAGTACCAGATGTTGCAAAAAGTGTAGAGAAAGTTGCCAATAAACAAATAAGTGATTTAGAGGTAATTTAAAACTAAACTTATACATACATTAATGTGTAAAAATACTTATTCCTTAACTTATAATTAATGGGTAGATATAAATTATCATTTGATAAACCTCTTTGGGCAATATGCAGGTTTTAGGCAATTATAACAACTTTTTGCAACTCTTTTCTGAATTTAATTAAGATGAAGAAATTAAAAAGAAAATATTGTATATTCCAGTACATGAAGTTACTAATGAAAAAAGTAGATGGCGCTACTAATGAAAAAGTTGTGGAAAAGGAAGAGCAGGAGAAACCCAAGAAAGTCAGAAATAGACCATTATTCTATTGTAAAGTGAGTAAGACTGTGTATAAATGTTTAGACAATAAATAATAATTTGTTTGTTTTTAATTGCAATTATGTTTCTAACTAATACTTATATGTACATGAGGTAAAAGTCTAAGATCTTGTCTTTATTGATCTAGTCCTTATATTATTATATATAATTTTGTATTTTTTTCTATTACTTTACAGATAAATGGATTACCTTTTAAATGTAAAAAGAAAGATATAAAAGAATTTTTCAGACCATTAGTACCATTTTCCTTGAGATTACCCCTAGGCAAAGGAAAGAAGTTGGCTGGATTTTGCTATGTAGGATTTAGAACTGAACAAGAATTAAAGAAAGCACTTGCTAAGGACAAGTTGTTTATAGGTAAATATTTTAATTTTTGTGTTACTGTAGCTTCTAAAGACTGAAAGAGTTTTCAAATCGGTTCAGTAGTTTCGCACCCTATTAAATGAAACATACAATAAAATCTTTCTTTATAATATTAGTTAAAATTAATACAGGAAATCATCGAGTACATGTCCACAAGTATGAAAGCCAGTCCAAGAAAGAAGAAGAGGAGGAACAGATAAACACTAAAAAGCGACAAGAGGTAATAACTATTAATATAAAGTTTAAATTTATCATTTTCATATTAACACATACCATGCAGTGGTATTGTAGTGCCAATTCTTTCATATTGAACTCGCCAGGGGTGTCAGCACACTGAATGTGTTAAATATTGTTTCTTTTTTATTTTTAATGTCATGTGCTCTTGTATTTAGCAAACAAACAATGAAGAAAGTATAGGAGAAAGTGGAAGCATCTTCGTGCGAAATTTACCTTACGTGGTATCTGAAGAAGAGGTGACGAAGACTTTCGAGAAATATGGTAAGATCTTTTTAATTTAGACAAATAAAAATAATCATGCCTAATTTTTTTTAAGTGACATATTTAATGTTTTATTATTCTATAATTGAAGGACACAAAGAGTGTGCTTAAAAAATACGTCTAAAAATGTTTACATGTATTTTTTATTAATTAGGTCCATTAGCCGAAGTCAACATGCCAATAGATCCAATACTTCGTCAGCCGAAGGGTTTTGCAACAGTAACCTTTGTAATGCCGGAGCACGCGGTGAAAGCGTACACAGAACTGGACGGCACATCGTTCTGCGGCAGAATGCTGCATCTCTTACCTGCTAAAACTGAGAAACTGGAGAATGAAGAAGATGACAGTAAGTTTGTTACTTTATTATTCATAATTGAAGCCTAATATGTAAACATTTTGATATTCCTAGTTCTATAGTAAAGTTAAAAAAACTTATAAGTCCTCAAGAGATACGAGACGTGTAGCTTATTTTCAAAATTGAAGTAAAAAAAACTATCAACAATAACATTAAATAAAACATTTTACCCTCTCCTGGTTAAAATGTTAACTTCGATTTAAAAAAAAAATTGTAGTGCAAAAAAGTCACCGTAACTATTTTTTTCAGGCGACCTTTCATTCAAAGAGAAGAAAGCAAAAATACTAAAAGCACAGGCAAAGTCCTCACACAACTGGAACACGCTGTTTTTGGGCGCGAACGCCGTCGCTGACGTCATCGCTGCTAACTACGGCACTACCAAAGAACAACTACTGAATGACAATAATAAAAGTAAGTTTTTTTTTATGCATTGACATGAAACACGCAATTCATACATTTTGCTGACAGTTAGTAATTTAATTTTTAATTTATTCTTTGTGTTATAGATACAAGCGCCGCGGTCAGATTGGCTCTAGGAGAAACTCAATTGGTTGCCGAAACTAAAAACTTTTTGGAGAGTAATGGAGTTTACTTGGATGCATTTAATAAGGTAATATAAAACCTAAAATGTATATGTTGTATTTTTATTGCTAAAAATTCTAAATCATTTTTCTCTTTACAGCCAGCTCAGAAGCGTTCAAAAACTTGCATTCTGGTTAAAAATTTGCCATCCGACACTAATAGAGATGAAGTAAAGGCGTTGTTTGAAAAGCACGGACAAATTGCAAGATTCCTTATGCCTACCCATGGTATTACTGCATTAATAGATTTTATAGAACCGTTCGAAGCAAAGAAGGCCTTTAATAAATTAGCTTATTCCCAATTCAAAGCCGCTCCTTTATATTTAGAATGGGCACCAGAAAATGTTTTCGTCAAAACTATTGATACTAAAGAAATAGAAAGTAAACAAGAAAACGATTCAAATCAACAAAAAGAGTCAAAAACCGAAAAAGTATCGAAAGCCGAAAAAATCGAAGAAGTTTCTAACCCGGAAAAAGTCGAAGAAAAAATAATTGAACAAAAAATGGAAGAGGAAACGGAAGTACCAGAAAACGACAGCACTATATTTGTCAAAAATCTCAACTTTAAGACCACTGAGGGTAATTTAAGAGAGGTAATTTTAACATTATTAAAAAATCTAAATTATAAATTTTTTTTTATCATCTTATTTCTTTATTATTTCGTATTTTTAGCATTTCAAAAATTGTGGAAAAATACACAGTGTTATTGTTGCTAAGAAAAAAGATCCCAAGAATCCCGATCAGTTCCTTTCTATGGGATATGGTTTCGTACAATTTTATAGAAAGACTCAAGCCAATGAAGCACTTAAAACTCTACAGAGTTCAACTTTAGATGGAAAAACATTAGAATTGAAAAGATCGGAGAGAGGAAATGTGTAAGTAGTGATTATACCCTTTTAATATTTTACGAATTAAAATTTCTTTGCGATACGGTACATTAACCATTTTAAACGCATTGTATTTATTATTTGAAACAGAACTGAAGTAAAAACATCAAAGAAGAGCTCCAAAGACACAGTTCAAAATGGAACAAAAATACTCGTAAGAAACGTTCCGTTCCAAGCTAACAGGAATGAACTTCATGAAATATTCAGGTAATTAAAATTTCAAACATAAATCGAAAATCATGAACACGCTTAGGCATATTTTGTAATCTGTTGACAATAAAACATACAATTTAATATATTAATTGCACAAACATTATCTCTTTTCTGATAACAGTATATTAACGTGATTGAAATGTTACATTAGTGACTAATGTCGGTATGTTTTATGTTTGCAGGGCGTTCGGCGAAATAAAGACTTTGAGATTACCTAAAAAACTGACAACTGGCTCAGAACAGCATCGTGGTTTTGCGTTTGTCGACTTTCACTCGAAAGCAGATGCTAAGGTATATTTTTGTACATTACCTATTGTAAAACTTCAAACTAAATTTTATAAATATTTTTCAATTTTGTTACAGTGCGCCTTTGAAGCATTATGTCAATCGACTCATTTATACGGAAGACGATTGGTATTAGAATGGGCAGACCAAACTGATGAAAACGAAGATATTGAGATGCTTCGGAAGAGGACAGCGCAGGCTTTCAATGCAAAGGTTCCCGGCGGCAAGAAGTCTAGAAAGGCAGCTGTGGACGTTGATGATTTTGTTGAAGGCGATAAGGAATAACAATAATATATTTATATTAAGTTGACTACACTAGTGTGTTTTATTTTTAACTAACAGCCCTATTGATGCTATACATTAACACATTTACCATGGGTCTTCAAGACCAAAATCCCTATTTAAAACATGTTTTCATCTCTATTTTATCAAAGATGACAATATATTTCAACAAAGATTTAGGTCTTAAAAACCAACAATAAGTGCCACTACAATTGTCACATTTTTAAGTAAACAAGCTGGGGTCAGTCACTGACACTGAACATATAAAGTATCCCACCACTTATTTGCCCCCTTATCATATAAAATACTATCAAACACTGTTGGTAATACCCTAACAGAATTCTTACATCTTATGTAAGTATGGTGTGATAATACACGTGAATAACGTAAAAACAAAACCAGCTATAAACATATTGTATTATGACTGGAATAGTTAAATAAAACCGCTTTTTGGCAGATTTATAGTTAATAATAAATAGGAGATAAAAAAAAGTACATTAATTTAATACATAGTCACCTTTATTGCATTGATGACATTACAAAATAAACTAATTCTGGATGGCATAAAAAATTACAATTTCTCTCCTAACTCATAACTCATTGATAAAATGAATAAAAGGAAAAAAAGATACAATAAATCTGTGCATCTTCAACATTAGTACGTCAACATTATAATTCTATATTTATTTACTACATGTTATTTACACAACTTTGCAATCCCAAAACATATTGTTACATTATTTTAACTATATAAGCAAAATATGTTATGGGATAAACAAATTTTACAGCAAATAAATCTGTCACAAATCTATGTGAATTGATATTTATTATACATAGACCTGAAATGTAGAATTATGAATTAAATACTCTGGAAGCAGATTAGAAACAAGTTTTATTTGCATTAGAATACATTTTTCATATAATTTTTCCACTACTTGAAGTATGTAATTAAATAAACAAGATAAAAAAGTATATTTACATTCTACAAAACATAAACAACAAAAAAATAAAAGCAAAAATCACTAGGATCTATCAATAGACTAAGATTATGTATGAAGAAATTGCTTCATCACAAAATATACTATCATCATTTGCCAATCATCAAACATACTGTTCTCACTCTATAATTGTAATTCCTTATCATTTACCAAATATTGCTTTTATACTATCAGAACTACATTCAGTAAGGAAAACAATATTCAATGTAAATACCAAAAACATTAAAAATTCATTAACCGGTAAAATGTTTTAAAATCTGACATGTAATTCATTATCTTAACATAATTTAGCCACTAATGAACAAAGATCATTGTTATTCTAGGAATGTCCGAAAAATATATTAGTCAAAAATTTTACTGTATACATGTATTTTTATAATAAAAATTTGGAAAAACCAATTGTCATATGTGGCATATGCATTTTTATGTAATGAATACATAAGTGATATTTATACTAGGATTAATATTTTTGCACAACACCATTCAAGGAGGTTTTCAATCAATTTTAACAGTTGAATATATTTTCCTAACAAATATGCTGGTGCCCACATAACCTACTGTGCCACAAATTATTCCGAGAGCAAGACTGAATAGAGCCATGTAGCCAAAGTAAAATGTTGTTTGAAATAGTCCATACATCTTAGTCTTGAACAGGAAGTAATAAAATGAATATAAATAAACATACAGAGCTGTACTACCAGCAGACAGGAAGCTGGTCCATTGCCAGCGGTAATCCTCTGCATTCAGCAAGAAGTATGTGCACACTATAGTCACACAGATTGTGACAATCATAAGTATCAGGAACACTAGCAGCATAAATCCATAGACATAGTAAATTTTGTATGCCCAAAATGAAGTAAAGATAAAGTACATTTCAATAAATATAGATCCAAAAGGCAGAACACCTCCCATAATTATGATGATAAATGGTTCCATAAACCACTTCTTTTCGGGAATGGGTCGAGGCACAGCATTGATGCGACAAGGATAATCAGGCTGTCCCGCTAAGTTCCTTCCAAGGACTGTTCCAACTAATGTAAGGGGTAAGATAATAAATGTACAAATTGACATAACAGCAATCATACTGCCAAATGGAATTGCACGAGATGCATGATAGTACATTGCAATAAAATTAATAAAGAATGCAGTGCCACAAACAAGAACTGGCAGGAGAAAAGCTGAGAGTAACATTTGCTTTATCCATAGTTTTCCACCCATTCTTGCATATAAAGACCCACCAAAGTAGCCATTCACAGGTGAAGTAGCAGCATATATAAAAATGGCAGTAGAAAGTAAAGAACCTCTTTCTGTGTATAGCTCACCAAAAATAGTGAAAATTATAACAGCTAGAGTTACCACTGTAAGTTGGTAACCAGCACCTACAAGGGCAGAAAATAGGGCTAAGTGTGGAACAGGTCTAAACACATCACCATGCACCTGCTTCCAACCATATTCATCACCTAAATCCTTTTCCAAGTCATCCAAATCATCATCTTTTGAGTATCTAGCATAGTCCTTACGTAGAGTTCTCATAAGAATCATAGAAACTAGGCCAACTAAAAATATTACCATCATAAAGCTGTTGAATATACTAAACCAATGAATCCTGTGTTGGAAGAAGTTTGGATCCAAGTATTTGTCAAAACGATCCTCAAATCTAATGTTGCTCTTCTTCCAATTCACTTCATAGGTAAATGCAATCTTGGCATTAGGAGTGAGTCGCTCTTTATTTTCCGCCGTAAGATTGACTTCGACAATCCTATTACCATTGTAGCCAATGTCAAACTTCTTGTGAGTCCAAATGTAGTGGTGATCGCCATCTATTTCACCTACAATACCCCAAATTGGTAAATCATCGATGTACATCTGATACCAATAATGATTCTTGACTGCATACACCAGTGCTTTGTAGGACTGATCATTTAATTCTATGGCACAAAATTCCTGGGCTGGTACATTATCCTTATAAGTTATGTCCAAACCACTGAACTCCAATTCAACACCTTGTAACGCTTCGGATAAGGTTTCATGGTAGTGGCCGATGGTAACTTTGGTACCGGCACAAAACGGTAATGAAAAATATGCGTAAGTCTCTTGACGATTGTGGTATGGGCCTACGGTATTCATCCATAGGACAACTTGTTCTCCATCTTTATACGTATGTGTATGTTCATCACAGTTTACTGCCACCCAGCACAAAAAGAAAATGTATTTGAATTTCATTTTATGTTAACGGTATAAAACTTTAATAAATAAAATTATAAACATAACACGTAAGTGAAACGCCGACGTCGGACATCTAAATAATATTGCCATGAGATAAACATTTAATATGTCAAAGATTTTAAAGTGTTCAGTGTTGTCACATTAGATATTGGCAATGATTGTGTTTATGAATAAATAAAAGAAAATACGTATGATCTAATCAAAAGGCTTGGACCAGGAAACTCTGTCTTCTATGAAGTCTATCTCTTGAGTATTACTTTGCTCGTAGACCCCCAGCTAGACCCTTACGCCGCTGCACAAACTTTAAAAATTAAAGGTGTGCCCGAAAATAAGTTTTTGCTTGAAGGTTACCTGAACATAAAATCTGAAAAAAATTACTGTCAAAACAAACGTCAATGTGGTCTTGTTTACATTTGAGGTTATTCATGTTATAAATATTTTTTTATCTAATTGGATAGAAATGGAGATAGACAGCGATTTACCTAGCTCTGTACAGGCTAAATTCAAATCGGACATAGGAGAAGAAATCGGAAGTCCCCTCGATTTGCCATTAAACGTTACAAAAGAACAACTTACACTCATATGTAATGCTCTGCTTCAAGAGGTAAATTATATCTGTGTTTTAGCTTTAATCTAATGTTATTTATTCATTAGTAATATTTGTACGTAATTCTATTGTTTTCGCATGTTTTCAGGAAGATAAACCATTCTTATTCTTCGTTAAAGATGTTGAAATTACTACTTCACTGAAGGATGTCTTGGATACGATAAAAGTAAATTCTGAAGAAGTTGTTGAAATAATATATCAGCAACAGGCTGTGTTTAGAGTTAGACCTGTTACACGTTGCACAAGGTACATATATGTTACTTAGTTATTCTACATTATTTTGTGAAATATGTGATTCAAATTTTACAATTTTTTACAGTTCTATACCTGGACACGCCGAAGCGGTTATATCAACAAGTTTCAGTCCTTCGGGTAAACACTTAGCTAGTGGGTCTGGTGATACAACTGTCAGGTTTTGGGACTTGAATACTCAGACACCGCTACATGTATGTAAAGGTATCCTTCTTTTACATTTTAATAAGAAAAGTCATGAAAGTTAAAAAAAAACAGAAATTCTAATACAATATTGCTCCATTAACTGGCCTTAGAAATATGTGAAATAACAAAAAATAAATCTATTGAGTTAAAAAAAATTACTAGAAATCTCTATCATATTTGTTCTTACAACTTTATAGGGCACACAAACTGGGTGTTATGTATCAGCTGGTGTCCCGATGGATCTAAATTAGCTTCAGCATGTAAGCAAGGTAAACTGATAATATGGGACCCAGAGACAGGAAATCAAATTGGCAAAACTATGATCGGGCACAAACAGTGGATAACTGCATTGGCTTGGGAACCATACATGAAGTAAGTGTTATAATATTAAGTTATATTAATTTAACACCTCACATCTTTCATATATTTAGTGCAGCATTCAGTCCTTTAATGGCCATAGACAACCCTGAGTGAGGAAGTAAGTGTTTATCAAAATCTTTATCAAAACTTATAGACTTCAACACTTTGTAAAATATTTTCCAAATAATTTTTAAGGATGAAAAAAATAAAAATGTCATGAGATATTTTACTTGCAGGAATCCAGAATGTCGTAAATTGGCCAGTTCATCAAAAGATGGTGATGTCAGGATATGGGATACAGTAACATGTTTGACTATTCTTAGTTTAACAGGACATTCAAAAGCAGTCACTTCTGTAAAATGGGGTGGAAATGGCCTTATATATACATCATCACAGGATAGAACTATAAAAGTAAATAAATAATTCAATAACATTAGAATGATATTGTTAATTAAAATACATATATACCTCTCATAAACACTTATATAACTGGAATATGTTATAACATTTAAAATGACAAATTGATGTTACATTTATTCAACCATAATTTTAGGTATGGAGAGCTGATGATGGTATTCTTTGTCGAACTTTAGAAGGTCATGCCCATTGGGTGAATACATTAGCCCTCAGTACAGATTATGTATTAAGAACTGGGCCATATCATCCAATACTTGATAGAAATGAACCAACTACAGATAGTAAGTAACAAAACTATTCACAAAATTATTGTTTTTCTTCTCGGAGTGACTCTTTTTTCAACTCGAACATTGGTATACTTCTAGAAAAGATTTTACAACAACGAGCTATTGAAAGATATGAACAGGCATGTTCGTATGGCGCAGAGCGTTTGGTGTCAGGTTCTGATGATTTTACATTATTTTTGTGGCTACCTGAAAAAGAGAAACGACCTCTTGCTAGAATGACTGGTCATCAGCAGCTAATTAATGATGTTAAATTTTCTCCGGATACAAGGTAAGAAAAAAGATTAGATAATACCACTTTTCCTATTGCATTTTTTTATAGTATATCGGTATGATTTATAGTATCTTAATCTTATAGTAATCTTAAACCATTCTCAACTTTAATACTTTGTCCATTTTTTTTATTTATATAAATTCTAAATTAATCATAAAACTAGCCAATATGTGCTCAAGAATGTTTACAATGAGGTCTTACTCTTCTGTTCATAGGATTATAGCATCAGCATCTTTTGATAAATCAGTGAAGCTTTGGGAGTCAGCAACGGGCAAATTCATTACCACTCTCAGAGGTCATGTTCAGGCAGTGTACATGGTGGCATGGTCGGCAGATTCAAGACTACTCCTAAGCTCTAGTGCTGATTCAACATTAAAAGGTGATTAATAATTAAATAGAGTTTCAAAATTGCTTTAATGTTTTAGTAAAATATTATTTTAAATTGATTCTTTGTATGATGATGTTCCATTAGAGAGACATTTTCAAAGCAATTCTTTAATTGGTGAAGGTTTTTACCCAAAATGCCCATAAAAGTAAATTTAAGCAGTTATTTAGTGTATGGAATTAATAAGAAATAAAAAAAACAATTTACTAATGTTCATTCTTTAATTGCAATAGTGGTAAAATAATGTAGTTTATTATACATTTTTTATGCAGGAATTCAGTGTATTTATTTGTTACATTTTAGTTTGGAGTATGAAAACAAAGAAGCTAGAGCTAGATTTACCTGGACATGCAGATGAAGTGTTTGCTGTAGATTGGTCGCCTGACGGAGCTTATGTGGCTTCTGGTGGGAAGGATAAAGTATTGAAATTGTAAGTGACCAACAATAATTTAGAAAAATATTCTTTTTTCTTTTAGATTATTATTGCTAGCATTATTCTATGTTATGAACTGCTACTTTCATACATTTTAATATTGAATGATTAACAAATGCATATTTGTTTCAGATGGCAACATTAAAACAGGGTTCACATCTAATTATGCTTTATTGTTGAAATAAATCATTTTATAACAAATTGTGTTTACTTTACATTTAATAGTAATTAACAATGGGCTACTTAATCTTTATGCTCTTTTTGACATTAGCCTTTATACCAGAAGCTTCTCCACTATATCTGGCCACTTCTGACCTTGGTTCACGTATTGCTCCCTTCCTTCTTATTTTCGCCTTTCTATATTTCAACTTGTGCTTAACTCTTGGGTTTCGTTGTTCCTTCTTTCTGTGTGGTGTGAGGCCTTTATTTTTAGCAATTTGATAAGTAATTTCGCGCTTTTCTGCAATGTCATCAGTAATAAGATGTTGAGATGATGTAGATGGTTTGTTATCTTCAGTATCCAATCCATCATTGTCTGAAAAACCACTTTCCTCAGATTCAGTGCTCCTTTGGAGACCTGCAGCTTGTGGTCTTAACATATCGTCATCTAACACATCCTCTTCATCATCATCTGAAACTCCAGTATCTCCACCTTCATCTTTTTCCAATTCATTTATTAATTTCAATTTCTTAGGCACATGTTCCAAAGAAAGTTTATCAGACTTCCGTTTCTTGGCTTCCTTCTTTTTGTCTACCACAACTGTGAGCTCTATACTATTATTTACAGCTTCTAATATCTTCTCTATTTGTGGTTTAATTACTTCTAAATAAATTGGTTCCATTTTATTTAGCATTTGCCTGTACTGATATAACCGTTTTATTACTGGATGGTTTTGAATGTTTATTCGTTGACTTTTCAGAAGTAAGTAAAAACTTATATTAGTACAATAATTTAAAATAAGGTTGTAGTTAGTTTTTACAAATTTGGAAGCTGGACATTTGGGTAGTTTGCCTCCTTTTACAAGCTGTAAAACTGGCTGTAAATCATCTTTGGCAACTGTTAATTTATTTTTGAAATCATCAACAAGACCTGCAAACTCTGGACTTTCCTTTTCAAATATTTGTAACTTTTGCCGTTTTGACATATGACTCAAATCACTTTTAATAACTTTTTCTTTTACTTCTTTTTCTTCAGTTGGTGGACTAAAAAATTCTAATGAGAAATCCTCATCTGCAAGTTGTTCAATGAGTCTCTTTTGAATGTTTTTTGCTTCCTGCTCTTCCATAAGAGCATCTTCTTCATCATCACCAAAACCGCCATAATCCTCATCTACGTAATCTGTTGAATAATAGGACTTCTTTTTCTTGCCCCATGCTTTAGAGTCAGGTAAATCATCATCAGAATTTCCTTGGCCTTCTACATCACTATCTGCCATATTTAAGTCGTTATTATCATTTTCTTCCTCCTCTTCAGACTCTGAGAATCCATAAATTTCCTCTTCACTACCAGAGTCATTATGTTTTCGTTTACGTAATTTATCCAGGAGTTTCTTTTCCGATGTTGAATAGTCATCTTCCGAATCAGATGGCTCATAATTTCCTTGAAGATCAAACTTTGAATTGATTCTGTAATAAAAAATGGAAACACTGCAAGGATCTGTTTCGGTAGAATATTTTTGTTATAAAAAAGCAACAATCATGTTGAGTACCAGTTAAAGTAAAATGACTTGAAAAATCTATGAAAGTTACAAGGCAAATCGTGCAATTTATACTTATTAGTAAATACACACCTTATTTTGTCTGCCATGACTAGATAAATAGGAAAAAACTATTCTATTTTGTAAACTGCACACGTCGAACAAATAGGTTATATGTTCATTTTATAAAACATACTACATAATTAACTTTAGATCTTAGATTATAATTTTTTATTATTATTACTATCAAATAATAAATTTAAATGAAATAAGTCTTTTAATTCAATGAAATAAATAAAACGCGAAGAAACACGTTGATTACTAAAATAAAATTGATTGAAATTTTCTATAAGTTCATAGAGTGTAGAACATAAAAATCATTTCAACTGTCAAATATAATTCCTCTTTGCCAAACAATAAATTCTGTTTAAAATTTTAAAACGTTGAAAATAAAGTATTAAAAGAATTTGAGCTTACTCAATCAATTAGAGCACTTTACCAAAAAATAGTTAAGTTTTATCGGTAATACAGAAATAATGTCCTATTTCTCGAATGTTTTTATGTTTGGCGTCAGCCATTATTATACATTTCAAATACGTGAAAATGGTTACTCTATGATTTTTACATGACATTGACGCATGCCATTGTTAAGAAATGTTCTGAACTGAAATTCGTGAACTTGGTTGATATTTAAATTTTGAAGAATTATTTATACCTATTTCTTTTTATTAAATATTATACACTATTCGTTTTTAACAAGATTTTATTGAAAATAATGTATTTTTCTCGACATTTAAATTCATTTATACAGCATTTAATTTTAATTATTTGTTTAGTTAATCTTGGGAGCGGAGAAGTAGACGATTGCAAACAGTGTAAAGTTTTATCTGATTCTTTTAACAATTGGCTACAAAAAACAGCGCGAGGTAAGTATGAAGGTGGCGATACTGCTTGGGAAGAAGCGAAACTTAAATCTTACTCTCGCAGTGAAATGCGTTTAGTTGAAATACAAGAAGGTTTGTGTTCGGAAGTGAAAATGCATAAAGATCGATGTTACGCTTTCGCCGAGGAAGCAGAGCATTTACTAGAGCAGTGGTGGGTCCATGAAGATCCCAATTCACAAGATCTATTTACTTGGTTGTGTATAAGTACCCTGCAATATTGTTGCCAACAAAATCACTATGGCCCACTATGCACTGCATGCCCTTTGGACAAAAATAATAAAATTTGTGGAGAAAAAGGATTGTGTGATGGAGAAGGAACACGAAAGGGAAATGGTTCTTGCAATTGCAACAAAGGATTTGCTGGTGAGTTTTGTGAAAAATGTGATGAAAATTATTATAATACTCCAGAAGAAGACTGCAAGCCATGTCACAAAGCATGTAACAATTGTAAAGGGGAGGGAGCGGCAGCCTGTATAACATGTAAAACAGGTTGGGACCTAGAATCTGGTGTGTGCAAAGACATTAACGAATGCCTTAAAGAAAATTCATGTAAAGTTAATGAGTACTGTGTAAATTGGGAAGGGTCATTTTCTTGCAAAGCTTGTGATAGTGCATGTAATACTTGCAGTGGCAAAGGCCTCACAAATTGTACATCATGTGAAGAAGAACAAATATTGGTGAATGGGATGTGTTTAGATGAAGCATTAAAACATCAATATTTGTTAAGTACTATGAAAAGATTAGCATTGTACACATTCTTGTTAATAAGTTTATTTTTTATTTTTCAAAGAATGCAACTTATATTACCTCTAGTAGTATTATTGATATCAATTTTTATTTATTTCTATGAAAATGAAATTCCTGTGAACATATTTTCTGTGTATAACATATTAATTAAGGATTTATTCCAAAAAATCCAAGGTTAATTATAACTATATGGTAGCTAATAAAGCAGCAAAACTCAGTGTTAAAGGTGTATTAAAAATACATTTTATTGTGAAAGGTACACAGCTATGTTTAGTATTAAGTATATACAGTAACTAAATATAACATTGTTTAGAAAAAATAACCAAATTGCATAATTCTCACTTAGAACATAAGTTTATTTAAAAAAAAACAATTAAATACTAATTGTTGAAAAGAAATACAAACAATGTTTTAGTCTTTTATGTTAATGACTGCTCTTAAACAAAAATGCATACAATAAAGTACATTCAAAAGTTCCTAATTTGATTTTACACAACCATTTAAATCTTTATTTTTGTATTTTATGTTAATTTCACAATTTAATTTTATAGTTTAGAATATAAGTAGTTGTAATGTGTTATTACAATATATTTATTACAAATAGATTGGCAATGATTGAGTTTCTGTTTGGCTTAAGAAGCTTAGGTATACCTTCTCAGTCTAAAATTGTATTTATTTGTGAAATCAGGTGCAGAATACACAACAGTAAAACTATTATTGTGATGACTATGTCACTACAGAATGCATTATCAATTACACTTAATATAATATGTAATGTACAAAAAAAACGCTACAACTAATTAATGTCTGCTTTCGTTCATAAATATATAGACAAAACAAAAAAGCAAATTAATAAATTGAAATTTTATAAGTACCAAAAATGGTATTTAAGTTTTATGTCAAAATCCTCATTTTCTGTAGCAGCAAATACATAAAACAGTAAGTCTTTGGTGAAAAGAAATATTGTTTTCAATATGAATTTTTAATCTTAATTATACTTAACTTATTCTAGAAACATATATTACTTGATACAAAAATTAATGTAAGTAAAGACTTTGCAACAAAATCAACACAAAACACAAATTAAATTCATCAATGAAAAAGTAAATTTGTTCGAAATTTTAATTTTTTGGTTTTGTCATTGTTAAGTACTAATAAACTTCCATTCATTTAAAACTAATTGTGAAACAAAATACTTAAGATAATGTTACTAGAAGATTCATTTTTGAAATCTTTCTGTATGACAATTTTGTTGCAGTTTCATTTAGCATACTGTTTGAAATACTTGATAAGATGAGCTGTGAAACCATAAAATACTACAAATAATACGCACGACTAGCTTCTGTTGTGTTGTAATATTTAAGGTCGGTTGCAGCATTATGGTCGTTTTATTCTATTGAAAATAGAATCAACTGTTAAATTACTAATAAAGCAGATGCGGATAATGCAAAGCAAAAGGTAAAACCCTACCCATTCATAATTATATGTTTATCAGTCTGCTTTTTATACACGCTAATAATTTAATACAATATAAATTTCGGTCCCTCAATTTAATACTCAGCAAATTTTGTTTTCCTTCCCAAAGATTAAGTTGCAATACAATTTTACAACAGTATTCTGTTCAATACAATCGTCAATATAGCTGATTTTGAAGCGATTGTTAAACTTGCAATTCATAGTAACGGTAAAAAACAAGCTTGTTTACCCCTAACTCATTCATAAATAACAATATGTGCACTTTTTCAACTTTACCTCTTTTATTTGATTGCAGGAATGTTCAATTTTTATTTAACTGTTATTTTCTACTTTAATTACAACTAACTATTTTTTTTTACTTGCGAACATTTTAAAGATTTTTAAAATTCACTTTGTATTGTTCAATATCATATACATATGTTAATAGTGAATGAGTTAACAATATACATGTAGTTTTAAGCGAAAATTTGTAGAAAATTCTTATTCACACTATTTTTTTTGTAAATGATATTATTTCTAATTGATATCTCTACATTCAGTCTGTCAAGTACAAATTTGTATGGAATGTATTACAAACAACTTTAGTACAGTCAGTTGCATAAATAAAATGACAGACAAGATATCCAGATATATAGGAACCCCTAAAGTGATCAATTCATTCAACCAAAGTCTCCAAATTAATTGGTCATATTAGACACAGAGTCAATAGTGTATAAACATCAACAGTGTTCAATAATTTAGGAACCGATCCCACAACACTTCTATACACACTATAACACTACTGGCGCTGTAACTGTTACTATTATCATGGCTCATCATTGAACTCATATATTTGATGATGTCCCCATGTTGAAGATTTTAGTTGTACTTATAAATGAGCGCGTAAGGAGGTCCTATATATCAGGATAACATGTCTATTTATTTTTTATTTATGCAAAAACAATGCCATAATTTAACAATTTTTACAAATTGTTAAAAACTTTTCTGTGTCTTGTTTACAGTGAATCTCCACTGTCATATCACCTGTGTAGCAAGCACATAGACGCACATTGACTTTGGGAAAAAAGACCAGATAAATATGTTCTCATACATTTGCTACAACAGTAAGAATTCACTTGTAAATATAACAATAATAACTTGTTAGTACTTTTGAATTAGTGAAGACATAGTATCATACAAACAAAACAAAGCAATTCATTATCAATTGTTGAAGTTGTATGCATATTCATGTAAAAATTATTATGATTAAATAAACATTCCAATAATAATTCAATACATTCCACTTATCCTTGGTTGAAATGTGTATCTTATGCAATATATTGAAATAAGTAAATACTGAAAGATGCATGAGGAGCCAATAAAATAATACTTTTATTATCTAGCTGCACAAAATTATAAATGGTATTGTTATTACATCATGTATAATAAGTCAATCCTTCATTTTCTTGTTTTTCATAGACATGGATGATTAGCATAGATAGAATTCTGGAAAATTCATACATAGAATTTTAGAGGACATTAGCTTTTTAATTTATGGATTATTTTCTATTTATTCAATGTTCCATGTACTTCATTGTAACTTTTAATAATATAAATAAAGTGCATTTTCTATAGCAAATTTTATTTTTATTACTTCCTACGAACATGAAAAATGGAGTGATTTTCTACCAAAATGAAAACAGAACATCGTATAACTAATTTGTGATAAAATTATTTTAGTCTTATTAAATAAAGGACTTTTTATATTGAATGTATTGAATAGAAGTTAGTGACCATTGACGGAAGTTACAAAATTGTAAACATAAAATTCCGGCTTTTCGGAAAAAAAACCTGGTATTCTACTTTTAGGTTGACGATAAATAATAAGAATCAAAGGGAATATGAAACAATAACTGAATTCTAGAATATGACTTTTCTATGCAAATGTAAGTTGCGCCATATTTGCAGCTGTAACAAACTACCATATGCAAAAATGTTCAACTTATTAAAGACTGCCGTTCTCGTTAATCCTTCACTAAAGGTGACCCATAGTGTAGACATTAACTTTTGCAGTCCTAAAGTGGTCGCTTTTAGTGTCTA